GGACAAACATTCACATTTGTCTTTTAGTGTAGGAATAGTGTTGGCTGAGTGGGGTGGGAGGGTGTGTGTGTGTGTGTGTGTGTGTGTGTGTGTGTGTGTGGGGGGGGGGGGGGTGCAGATATATGGACACAGTCAAGAGGACCGGGAAAATAGTCACTGCATTTGCTCGACCAATAACTTCCTGTGGAAGATAGATGTGTTTTGGTGTGAGCAGCTGTTCTCTGTGACCACAGGCGCTCCCCCTCACATGATGTGTATGTACGTGGAGGAGATTATCATTCAGAGCATGCCTGCTCATATGCTAGTGAATGCGTGTGTGGCCCGGGCGGCCAATTCACGGGGTCCAGACAGAGCTCCCTCAAACCCAACTCAGACTTTTCAGGCTCTGGAGGCCTTATCCCGGCGAAGTTTGCATCCTTATGCGAGTTTTGGCTCCATGTGTGTTTGTTCACTGGAGCGAAACCCAAATGGCACATGAAAGGTGTGTATCTCAGTGTTGCTTGTCCTGCTGCTCTGACAGGAAACAGACGCTGGCTGCAGGGTTTGGTTTCTCCAAACTCTCACACATGACTCCATTTCAAACATGCTGCAAAATTCAAAACAGAAATGTAGCATGAGCAGGGACCACAGGGCCAAAGTTGTTTCTCTTGTTAGATTCAATTCCAGTGATTGCTTGCTGCTGTTCCAAACACAGCGTTTAGAAAACTCCCAGTAGCGACTGCAGTCTTTTTTCATGCATCAAACTTTTAATTCATTTCATATGTTTCTGAGAAAACTCTAATAACTTAATCTCACCGGTTTAAGAGTCTATTCAGAGAGAATCCTTGTGTTCGTGTGCTCCATGTGTGTTCTCATCATCACTCCCCGCCGACCCTCCAGCCCTGCAGGAGTTCAGTGTCACTGTGTTGCACCAACCAACACAGATTACAGGGTTGAGACAATAAGAGCACCGGAGAGAGGGAGGATGAGCAGCTCGTGTGTACAGCATTTGCAAACTAACAAGGAAATGTGTTGAGTTTGGATTGTGGCAGCTCATCACAGACATCTTCTTCTCTTTCGTAGAACATGTTGAACTTTAGCAAAAAGCAGGTTCTTACAGGGTTTTCTGCCATGTTGAGTTTGTTGTTTCAGCAGATGATGTTGAAAAATATTTGCTACTGGAGTTTCATGAAAGACCTGTCGCTACAAAACAATGAATGGTGCCATCATGGTGCCATCATGGTGCCATCATGGTGCCATCATGGTGCCATCATGGTGCCATCATGGTGCCATCATGGTGCCATCATGGACATGGGACGCCCATCTATAGGACTGAGATGAGGACATAACTGCGCTTTAGCACAAACTTGACGTTCCTCAGTTAAAGCGGAAATAGGCTGTTTTGGCTTGTTTTTAGCACCCCCTAGTGTTTGTAGAAGCAAAACCAAACATATCTCCTCGCTGTGTGTTTGTTTTTTTAACACTTTAATCTAACACCTGAAACATCTCCCCAGCCTTCATGTCTACAGGAGTGATTCATCACTAAATTATACAAGTCAACTCTTTTAAGGATCTTTAAACATGCAGGAAACCAGCTGGAACCAGACTGCAGCGCCAGGTATGTCAGCTCCAAGCAGCAGCAGACCAGCCGCCAGGCTGGGGGCTGGATGGCCTTTCATTAACCCTGTGAAGGGTCATTTTAGCACATGCTGGCTCAGAAAAATTATTTTAAAATATGAAAAAGTTGCAAGGTGTCCCTTTAAATGGGTGCTCTGATATTTATTCCAAGCCTAATAAATACAAATGTTGTGTTTCTTCATTTTAAACATCCATCCACCCAATACCTGCACCAGCTTGTCCATGCAGGGATCACGGGGTGGGGGTGGGGGGTGGGGGGTGAGTGGGGGGTGGCTGTTGCCTGTCTCCATGGTCTCCAGCAGTCAATGGGTAAACAGGCAGGGTACTCCCTGGACAGGTTGCCAGTCCATCACAGGACAAACACACACATTTAAACTTAGGGATAATTTTGGCAGACCAATTAACCTTACAATAATTTTTGGGACTGTGGGAAGAGCCGGATTATGTGTGTGTGTGTGTGTGTGTGTGTGTGTGTGTGTGTGTGTGTGTGTGTGTGTGTGTGTGTGTTACATGTGTAAATAATAACAAGGGCTATCTCTAGTCCCTTGGCTGTCCGATGCCAGCAACACAATAATTTAATAAACCATTATATTGATATAACTGCATATGACTTGTTTCATGTTGCATTTGAAGTATCTGTGATAGCAGCAAAGGTTTAAGTTACACACACACATTAAATAAAACCAAAACAACAGAAGAAATAGTTTTGAAGAATAGCAGCACGAGGTCAGTGATGCTCACAGATCTCCAGTCTGAAGACATTCTGAAATGAGAAGAAATGAAACAGTCCTCTGGACATTATTCAGTTTCCTAAAGAGAGACTTACACCAATCCTGACTGAGGTGGGATGTGCTCCTATAAGATAAGAAACAAAACCATATCCACACTATTGTAGAAGTGAACAAATTAAATACAAAATAATGAGTATTTGCACAGATTATTTTGGCTCTGACAGCCAGGCCTCATGTGGACAGTAGAAACCACAGTGACACTTAAACTCTTCATAGCGACAGGTTTATGCATCAGTGACATCATCAGCCTTGTTAACCTTGTGAGTCCGGTCTCTAAAGGGAAGGATCTGTTCTCTCAGCTGTGCAGCTACAGCATGTTTCTGTATCTACATAGACGTTTGTGTGACTTAAATCTGATTCTGATCTCATCATGTGGGAATATGGAAATAGAATCAGGACTCCTCTCAGCTTGAAATGTCCTCTTTTGTTTCTTCTAAAGGCCGTTTGACCACCATAGTTTTCTGTGATAAACCAGTGTTTCCTCCTAATGAAACAATCCCTGTCCAACTCAGCACAGCGCTGTTTTGGAGACTCCAGAGGTGGAGTCTGATGATCAGATAAGAGCGATGTTAAATCACCGAGTCCGACAGACTGTAGCTGTAACAGGTCTGTGTGTGTGTCGCCAAACCGGGAAGATTTCCACGACACATTTGTGTCAAACTGTTTATCAGCATCAAAGCTTTATAGGTAACAAAAACCCACTGCCTGTTTCCATGGTAACATGGCTTTGCTGGAATGTCTGTCACTGCCAAAAAGGTGACCCTGAACTCCCAAACACACCCTGGCCCTTGGGATTAAAATTCCCCCGGACTCGGTGCTGGGCACACACGCTCCACATCTACGTAGAGGAGGAAGCTACCTGTTGCCTCGCAACGCCGGCCAAACACAGGTCAGGTCAGACAAGTGTGTCTGGGTCGTACCTAACGTGACAGTGGCTTGCCATAAACCCGGACTGGCGTGGTAATGATACTCCTGCGTGGTGGGAGGGGCCCGCGTTCAGCTCTGTGGATGCTGGTCAGAGCCCAGTCTGGCCCGCATTCACAAACGGGGAGGCAACACAGGAAACCGGGGCTTCCAGTAAAAACATGTAATTAGAAACAGATTGACGGGGAGCTTTGGCATGATCCACCCATCAGGAAGGGAGAGAAGGCTGGGAGATGTCTTCTAAAAAGAAAGGAGTGATAGAAATGAACGGCGGTAACAACAGGTCGCTGGGAAACTCCCGTGAATAAATCAAGCGCTGCGAGACGTCTTGGACATAGATGGAAACAAGCAGGACACTGGACCAGAGACTAGCAAAGCACCCAGTCTGACCCGTCACTTTGAAACGTGGTCAACAAAAATGTTCCAGTGTTTCAGATCCCTGCTCCCACTGCTGCTGTGTTTACCAGATGCAGAATAAAAGCCACTGGCTCTGAGAGCGGGTAGACGACGCTCGGAGGCCTGTTGGCTGGTAGCTCCAGTTCAGTGGGCCTCAGCAGCGCCGGGTGGCTCAGACCCTGCCCTGCGCTGCAGCGAGGGGAAAGGGCAGCAGTAGCTCAGGTGGCAGAGCGGGTTGCCTCGTGATCGGAGGGTCACGGGTTCGATTCCAGCTCCCGCCAGGGGTATCCTGCTGTTGTGTCCTTGGGCAAGACACTTCACCCAACTTGCCTGTGTTAGTGGTGGTCAGAGGGGCCGACGGCGCCAAATGGCAGCCTCGCCTCTGTCAGACCTCCCCAGGGCGGCTGTGGCTACAAGTAGCTTACCATCACTAGCAGTGTATGAATGTGAGTGTGTGTGAAAGCGTCTTTGGGTGTCTAGAAAAGCGCTATATAAGTTCAATGCATTATTATTATTAAAGCTCCGGGACACATACCATTTTCCTGACCGGATCCCTAAGAAAACCTGCAACGTTTGCCTAATGAGCTCAGATGTAATCGGACATGAGCAGCAGAAATGAGTTAATTGTTGAAAAAACAGCACACACTCAAAAATATGTGAATAAAGACAAACTTTACTGGTTACGTGTTTTTAGGTAGCCAGAACCACACGTGGTGAGATTGATTGAGTTTGAACAGCGGCCCGATAACTCGCCACCCCTCTACCTCAGGTCCACCGCTCACAAAGATTCTCACAGAGTTCAGTCTATACCGGAGAGCCGCTTGGGGGTAGACGTGAGAAAAGTCTGCGTCCACAGAGAAACCATCAGAGGAGCTCTTTAGTGTGGCTTTACAGATCAGGCGAGCGGTGACTGTGGCATCAGAGAGAGAGAAGAAAAACACTTAATTAGCCTCCTCTCCCATCAGACTGCCGACGTAAGAATAAGGGTTCGATTACCAAGATATAAATGCTTTTAATCAACTCTCAAAGCCATTTTCCCTGGTATCCCCGTCAGCGTCAACAGTTCACAAACATTTCATCAGAGCGAGTGGAGGAAATGAACGCTGGGTAGGTGATGAGGTTTTATACGTTTCAAAAATCAAAAGTGTGAAGTGACTATTCACATTTTCCAGATGCAGAATTCAACATCTGGCGGGTGGAGATTAATTACCTGCTCGCTAAATGAGAAACCATGTGGAAATGAACAGGAATGAAGAAAAACGACTCCTCGTGTTCAACATAAAAACTCTGTATTGAACAGCAATTACAGTTAAACTATGTAAACACACCAGCCACGAAAAACACACACTTCTAAACACTAACAGAAGCACTTCTTTGGTTTGTATTTGAAAGAAAGCTTTGAAAAAACTACCGGAAATAAAAGAGTTGCTGAATTATTTATCCTAAGTTAACGATGGAGCTTCAGGAGCAAATCCCTACAGCAGGCCGACATCGTGTGGTGTTTGAGTCCGATTAAATCAACTGTATCCCTAACAGGTTCTCTGCAATGTAAACAAAAGCTGCAGTTTCTGATTACGGAGCTGGTAGCTTGACAATCCTGCCACATTACATAAATACAAGCCGACAAAAATAACTTAGTACATCTCAGGACGTGTGGGGTTTCTTAAGAACAGGTGTAAAAGAACAAAAACACGCTGGTGGAGTAAAATCATCCTAAAGGGTTTATTTTTACGTTACCGGTTTTGCTTTAACGTTTGGCTTCGGGACACAAACCTAGGAATAACTTTCAGACAACAATAAAGGAAGTGGGGTTGAGACGTTCTGTTCAGTTACGACTAGAAGTGAAATCTAAGACTTTCTGTGTTCAGACACAGCGGCTCCAGAGGCAGATCAAACATCTGGGAATCTGTTTGTTGGACATCAAAAACAATGCATGAATGGGACGGTGGAAGGAAAAAAAATGACACATGTAGGGTCTATGTTCTGATTTTAACATGCTTGCCTTAATGCTTCCCATATTCCACACGCATCTACCGTTAATAACATCGTTTCTGCTATCAATCCATCTGTATATGCAGCGTGTACTCTGGTACACAAGGCAGAACTTTATCTCCGGGATCTGATTTGTGTTCCTGTAACTGGCTCTAGCTCTCCGTCTCCCCGTGGACGTTCTCCATGTGCACTTTGAGGTAGTCGTTCCTGGTGAACTTCTTATGGCACAGCTGGCACTCGGCCATGGGCCGGTTGGGGTTGTGCGTCAGCTTATGTCTGCTGAGCATCTTTTTCAGGCTGAAGGAGAGGTCGCACACCTACAAAACAAGGAAAACAGGGTCACAACACAAAAATAATGTCTGTCTCAGTTCGCATGAACTCCAGAATGTTATGAAAGTTATCAGATTCATTATAAATTACCAAATCTCTCCTTTACAAGATTATTTAATCCCCAAACTGATTTCCCAACAGTTCCAATTTCCAATCCAAACTTAAATCACTGATGAGGAACGAAGGATCTGGACTGGAAGTTGATTGACAACCTATCGAGGTAAACTGCAAATATTGACTTCCAATAAACTTGATGTAATTTAAACCTCAAACCTTATGAAAAACTTGTAATTATACTCTAGTAGTCATTGAAAGTTTGTGAAACACAAAAAGAACAAATGGGTGCCATTCTTAAGTAGCTATTGGCTATAGCTATATGGGTTCTGTTCTGTTCTGACCGAGCCCTCATAATTCGGGTCTGAAATTGAAGCGAACACGAAGTGAAATAAATTGCAGTTCCGCCCTCATCCACTAGGGGTCAGAAGCGAGCAAATCCTCATTGACTCCCATGTTAAAAATACCAATTTCACAGCAGAAATAAACATGGTTTAAATGATCTAGTTTACACTCATGACAACTCTGAGGGGGGTGAATGTTTTTCTCACTCTTCTGTTTAAGTGTATTGAAAGCCTAAAATTCTGTATAATTAATGAGCATCAGACCCACGTGACCACAGAGCTAGCTCCGTGGAAAGGCCTCAGTGGAGCCTCGGTCTGGCTTGGAAACTGCTCCACGATTTTTTGTCTCTCACCTTAGCCCATTAGTTGTAGCGTTTGTGCGTCTTTTTGGATATTATTTGTGCAATTGTTGGACAAAATGACTTGCTGTGGCATTAATTGCACTAATAGAGCGTCCAAGGAGTCTCCACTTCATTTTTTTCGGTAAGTAAAATTATATTTATGTATTTTAGGTCACTGCCGAGCTGAGCTTAGATGTTAACATGTACTGTTTAACCATGAAATTTAAATGTAATAGGGTAAAACCCAGTGCATTTAACATAATGCTGCACTTTAGAAAATGGGTTGAAATATGACATGTTGGTGGAGCTGGGTTCCCACTATCGGCTTGTGGAGCTCTCTGATGGAAACCGATGTTTTCCACCCAGTTCTCCCCAGCTGCAGCTCGGCGCATCTCGCGGCAACTGTCTGCCGGCTTGTGGAGTTCTCAGGAGACCTCTGTGCTGTACCCGGGTTTACCCAGCGGTCAGCCCGGCGTATCTCTGACTCAGAAGCTCTGGTGTTGTGCACAGTTAACTCCGGTTGTAGCTAGGTAGCTACCTCCGTTAGCTTAGCTCCTACCTCCGTGTTAGCTTTGGGTTAGCTTGTAGCGACATCGCTTCAGTTCGACGGGTGTCATCATTTGATCCCAGCCTCACAGCCCCACCCTCAGCTCAACCTCTTTCCCCTTTTTTGGAATTGTCTGGGTTTGACGGAACCTGTGACACGGTCAAAATGGCGGTGGTGGCCACCTCCCATTTTGGCTTAAAAACTTATAATTGGAGCCTATGGAAACACATTGTCCAGTATATATGTCAATGGTTCGACTGAGAAATAAAGTTTGCATCTTACAGGACTGATGAGCTGACGGCCAAGAACCAGGTGTGTTGCTTCCATCTGAAAACCCCGCCAATGTCCTAAATTTCACTGTGGTTCATGCAGTTTTATTTACACAGCTATCAAGTTTACATCAAAGAGAACTTTATGATTTTTGTTTTAATTAAAATGGCTCTACGGTCAATGCAAAACATGTTTATGGAGTTCTTTGTTCTAAATCCCCCGCACATAAAGTGATAATTCTGTTTAATTCTCGACATTTTCAGAACCTTCTAGAAAGAGTTGCTCCAGGGCTCTGTCATTGAGTGTGTTTACATGCAGCCAGTAACCCTTTTAAAACCCGAATATTCACAATACCCCGGTTCCGCAGGTCCATGTAAACACCACCAAAAACCCGGATATGCTCATGACCGGGTTTTTAAAAACCCGGTTACTACACCTGGGGTAACCCTTTTCTAACCCGAATGTTTGGTCGTGTAAACGCATATCGGGATGTCCCCATCAAAGCGTGTGTTCTGCGCATGCTCTGTTCGCAAGGAACCTTGGTCTTTTGAGTAGCGAGACGTCTTGTACGCGCCAGAACACCGGAAGTAAACAACAAGTTGGGAGCAACATGGCGAGTCGCGGCACAGCACCACACTTTCGGAGTGACGAGGAAACTAAAGCGCAAACAAACGCGGTCGCTATCTCTTCCGAACTGGGAAACATGTTGTTGTTTTCACGGATACCGGAACAAGAAGAACCGGAAATGACGCATATCGTAGTCCACACGTCCTGACGCTACCCCAACGTCCACATTTACATCGGGTTATGCAAGTTAGGGGTAACTCTTTCTATTTATGCTTGTAAACGGGTTATTCTGATCAACTCAGAAACCCGAATACCGACCTTAACCCGATCATAACCCGGATATTGGCTGCATGTAAACGTAGTCATTTTAAGAAAACAAGCTGGAGCTGGCTACACCCACCCATCCCCCACTCGTGATACTATAGGCTGAAAAGCTCTGATATCGGAGCAGGGCTTGGAGTAAAACTACTGCTCTTCCAGAAGCAGCTCTCTATTATACTTGAGAGGAGAATCAATGCTACATTCCACTCGTGGCTAAAACAAGTCGTTTCAAAAAGTCCCCGTTTGTGATGTCACAAATGTGTGCTTTTTGAAATGAGATTGTTTTAGCCACATTATTCCTAAGACCAAATACTGACAGAAAACGGATGGACAGTTTTTTGCCACATTTACAGACGCAGTAGAGACTCACGTGGCAGCACTAAAGGATGCAAAAGTTGAGTTTTGCATTATATGTCTCCTTTAAAAGGTTATTTATTTACACACAAATTTCCACCATCAGCAGAGGTGCATCCGGAGGTCAAGTCAGTAGGGACCTCTTAATCATTTTGCTCAGATAACCATATGTGTAAAAGCAAGAGCAATGTAAAGCTTCCACTGTGAAGTGTTGGAGATTAGAGCCTTTTTAAGAAGGCAGCTTTACTCTCAGCCCGTAGCTCATCAGCTATTCTTCCAGACAGAGATCACCTAGGTTATCTATATGTAAGATTTCAATGATAACTTTTACACAAAAACACCTCAAAATGGTCACAATATCCTTTCAATTACATCTGCTGGCCACCGTTTATTTAACGGGTTTTTCTGCTGACGGTAGGGTTTAAGCTAATCACAGACACGCACAATGTCTAAGTAAGACACTCAAAGAAAGAATCCCTCCAGACCCCACCAACACTTGAACATATATCCTAAAAGAGTCATTTTTCACTGTACAAATGACTCTTCGCCCCCTTCTGTCAGTCAGGATAATCTACCACTGGCTGGTGTTCAGCTTAGACGTAAAGCTCTGAGAATCACAGCATGTGTCCTCCTCGCCTCCATCTGTGGATCACACAGCACACGTGTGCAGCAGTACAACATAAAAACAGAAAACAGGTCAAATGGTGCACATCAGATGGTTACCATCCATCCTGTGTGGGTAATGTTTTACAGACAGAAGAGACAGGAGCTGACGAGGAGCCTCACAAACACAAGACGCTGCATCCAGGTCGTCCTTGGCTTGTGTGGAAAAGGTTCCTGGAAGGGTGCAATTATTTTTGTCTGGTATAAAACCACAGGTGGTTTCGTATTTGCTCTAATAGTTTAGGTCCAATTATTACAGAAAATTTTCTCTCAAAGCTGGAAACAAATAATACAGTCAATTGTTAACTGTTGGGAAAATACTTTTGTTTAATGCTTCCCTATTTTTTACGCTGACATTATAGTCGTAAACTTAAAGGGACGTAAGAATGACATCTTGTGGTCACTTTTGGGTACTGTGGCCTATTGTTATAAACAATTATTTTACTACCATGACTCATCACAGAAATCAAGTTGTGGACATTTGAAAATGTAGCTTGAGACATTTTTAGAGCTGAGAATTTGCTTCTAATTCAGCGTTAGCATTGTTAGCTCAACCTCTACCCTGATTCACCAGATATTAGAGTAGAACAGAAAGATGCCGTGGCTTCTTAGGGGTACAAAAAAACAACTTTGGGGTCATTCCTGTCTTTCAACAACTGGAGCTTTTTGCCAGCCAATGTTGACTTACAAATTCCAGCGCCGCAGCGTTAGCTCGGCGCAGACTCGACCACCCTACAGGCTAAATTGTAAACAGTAGCTACATCCCTCTTTAGTTTGTTGAAAAAAGAAAATCTCACAACAAGCCCCTCCCCCAGATGTAATGTCAAACTAATATTTTTAAAGTCAGCATGCTGTAATTTAGTAACACGAGCAAACTGCTATAACTGCTCCTCAATAACCTGATGGTCGCCAAACGTCTCACAGGGCCGCTATTACGAGCCCTCAATGCATCAAAACTAATAAAATATGGTCTGGAGCAGCTTCTGGGATTTCTGTTATCATCTCTTAACTTTGTATGGTTGCCATGGTTTCAGTTCCTAACCTGACACAGTAGGTGGTTTGTTATCCAGAACCAGCAGGAAAGACTTCAGTGGAAACTGGAGAAATGGCAATTTCATAAAATACTTGGCAGGAAGGTTCGTGAAATCTAATTTCTGATGTAGCCGACTGCAAGATGGACTAAGATTTATTCTGCACAGAGGAGAACCTTCAGAGTTTCTGTTCGCTGCTCTTTCCATGAGGAAACGGGTCCATGATAGGTGCTCCAAAACCCCAAGAACAGGATTGGTCCAAACACCTTAACCACACTTTCTGTTGTAATTATAAATCTGAGAATTCATAATTCATGCCAGGTAAAGAGCCTGGACCCTTTTTATGGTCAAAGGTCACTGAAACGCTAAAGAAAATTCGTCCAGGAGTTTTGAAGAGCATCTCTATTTTGAGATTTCAAGGAACACTAAATAAATTAATTCAGGGTGGACATTAGAGATAGCAGTGTTCTTGAGGACTGTCTGTCAGTCACGCCGGATATAAAAACCATCCGTGTGCTTCGATCTGACCCCAAGTAGCAGCTGAAATAACGTGCTGTGAAAAGTATTTGTGCTTGGACTGCAGTAGCTTGGGAGGTAGAGCGGGTTGTACAGCAATTAGAAAAGTTGTAGGTTCGATCCCAGCTCCTGCCTGAGAATGCTGCTGTTGTGTCCTTGGGCAAGTCACTTAGCCCACCTTGCCTGCTGATGGTGATTGGAAGGACCGGTGGCGCCTGTCAGTGCACCTCGGGGCAGCTGCGGCTACATTGTAGCTCTTCCCCACCAGAGTGTGTGTGTGTGTGTGTGTGTGTGTGTGTGTGTGTGTGTGTGTGTGTGTGTGTGTGTGTGTGTGTGTGTGTGTGTGTGAAGCGCCTTGAGGGGCGCTGTACAAACACAGGCCGTTTACCATTTGCAGACTTGTGCTGTTTTTGCCTCACTTACATGTTTCAGATCAGCAAACACATTCCAGGATTAGACGGACAACACGAGTAAAGAGTTCGTCCGTTTTCAAACAAGAATTTGATTTATGAAAGCGGTCCAAACCAACCTGCTCCCTAATGAATTTAAACCTGACAAAGCAGCAAGAACACAAGAATCAGAAAGGGTCAGATGTTGTTTCACAGCATCTTCTTCTTCCAGACAGATGAAAACTCATCACCAGAATGTAAAATGCAACTAAAGTTGTCTGAGACCGTGGTCCAGGATCTACAGCTCATTCCGGTTTGATTTAATCCATCTCAAGGAAAAGTTTGAGATAATGAGATTTCCAATTAAAGACTTCTCCAAGCCACAGCTGAGGTTTTCCTAATTAAAAACTGCTGGATGTTTCTCATTTCCATAATGGTGCTAAAATGTAGCATAAAACAGTTGGTTTAGTAAAAGTTGGTAGTTGGTTGACAGCAAACGCTGTT